CGACGCTCTCGGTCAGCTTAGGGCAGTACAAGTTGAAGGTTAGCGACGGTCGCTCATCGTCTTCGGCATCATCATCATCGGCCGTCACCGCTGGGACGGATGAGGGTGCATCAGTCTTCCCGAATACTGTGATAATCACCTGTCAGGTGGGCATGCATGCAATTTGAATATGTTTCCGATGCAGAAACGAAAAGATAGAAGTAACACCCTATGACAAACAAGGTCTGCGAGGAACAGGTGATTCAACATGTGGACCTGGGCTCAAGGGGGCTCACGAAATGCAGGGCTGACAACACTGCCACCACCCCCCCACCCACCCACCCGTTTTTATTGGGTGCTACATCCAGTTTGGTCAAGGGTTTATTATTCTATTACTCTTAAACTAACGACTTAGAATATTGTATAGACTTTAATCAGTATTGCAAAATAAAACCCGTCTAGCAAGAGCTGAACAGGATTTCATTCGTGACCATACGAAATATGCATATGTAGGATTACAACTTTGTTACTCTTCGCAGTCGCTTCTCTCCGCTGGGACAGCGCTTTTTCTCACACTTTCTTCTGCATGGCACGGAGAGGACCCGTCGGTACATTACCCGTTACGTGTGAGGCTCGCGAGACACCAGTTGTGCGCGTTAGGGCCGCCTAAAGTCGCTGGGACTGGCTCTTTTTTCAGGGGTTGGGAATCCGAACCAAGAAAGCCTTCTCAAACGGCACGAAAGCTGAAAACAGAACTTTTTTTTACCCCGCGCCACGCGCCACGCGCCACACGCCACGCGCCCACGCGCCACGCGCCCACGCGCCCACACACCTGCTGCTGTGATTGTTGTGCACACAACCACCACACGGCAACTGGCGCATGCGTACCCACAGCGGGGATCAAGACTCTTGATGCCCTCGGGAACACACCACGCGACACAGAATATTCCTCTCCCACACCTCTGGCAGTAGCAAATTTGTACTTCGATTTGCATTTCAATTCCGAAAAATCGAAAAAGTCAAACATAGAAATTTGGTGCGGTAGCAGTCTACATCTATCTGTGACTGTTCTTGGGCACGTTCAGCGTCTCTTTGATCCGTTGTTGTTGATGTATGCGTGAAACGTCCCACAGACCATGGGGAAACACGATCACACCAGAAGAGAAAGTGATCAAACGCAGCGGATTACAGCAGTAGGACCTGCAGCAAACCGCTAGCCAAAACCACTCACTCGCGCACAAGGGAAAGTCACGGCGGGAGAAAAAAAAATACCCCGCACATATGATGCGACTTCCAGCCAAATTATTAGAATGCAGGTTGCACGCAAGTCGGCACTTCTGGACGTTATGACGACCAACCATGCGATCGCGATGGCATTGATTGGCCATGTCTTGCGTCGCCCCCGGGAGGCAAATCACCTACCTCCCGCAGGGGAACCTTGTATAAATATATCGTTTGCAAGCACCCTACAACCACGGTATTCTACCACCATCCAGTTTGCCGTGCTTCCAGTATTTCATTCCTTGAACCCCCGCTGGTTCTTGTCACATCTTGAGGGCCTCTATTGACCCCTCTTTATTTACCCTGTCTAATAAGCCAGTTGTTATGGAAAGAATCCCGATATTACGCCTTTTACATCCAAACCCCCATGAGGCCGCAACAGATCTGCGTACTTCGTCGGAAAAGCTCACAAAAGCGCTTTGGCACTCAGTACTCGCCTCACAGAGACCCGTTTGCATTCAAACCTTCGAGACCGCGTAGAGCATTGCTGTGAGCCTCTTCGAGCCAAGTTTGGGGAGCTGCGGTGCAGTGTGTGTTCACCATGCTTGGTAAAATAGGAATTCCAATTTGAATTGCTGGACGATCCTGGTGGGAATTCCTCATGAATTCCCAACTGTAATTGGTTGGAATTCCAAATTGGGAATCGTGAATTTGCTTTCATATCATCGCACACTACGCACACTGCACTCTAGCTGCCCAAACTTGGCTCCGAGAAGCTCACAGTAGTGGAGTGGGTGTACAGCCTTATCGGTTAGATGGCAAACAGGGCTCTGTGAGGCGAGGACGAACTGACAAAGCGCTTTGGTGCTCTCTGCTTGCTGCCCAGTACGCAGACCTCCTACTTTTATGGGGTGGTGGAGCATTATCTGCCGATCCCCCGGATTCCCATCTTGGAAAAATTTCCACTCCAACTGGCCCTAGACCCTTCTTTATGGAAACATAATCCTTGCAATTATA